TAGTAACTACCCTATCATATGTAAAACAACAACTAATCAAGCTATTTCCCCTGTAGTTTCAGATGCTATATTCACAGTTGGTGTCTGGATAACTTCCTCCAGAAGGTCTAATTTGTCCCTAGACCCTCAATCAATTTCACTTCCTGAGAGACCCTGCTGAGAAACCCCGGCCATTCTTTTAGAGTGATCTACACGCCAAATAAATGGCAGAAATAAGTGGTTTTCATAGCTTTTCAACTTTAACAATACAGCATGTATCCTAATACATCTATAAGGATTTCGTGATTAATTAGAGGTAAGAATATAGAGACTAGAAAGCTATTTTGTCCACTCACAATTACATGCAAAAGACATGCACACATTTTATCAAACAATCAATCAAATGACTGGTGATATCATACCCGGTACAAAAAACCAGACAAATACTATCTCAACGTTATTAGTTTAAAGACATATAAGCATTAAGGAAAGGGACAAAAAGTAAATATGCAATATTATAGGTCAAATGCTGATTTAATAATGGAATTGTAAACTACCTAGTAAGAATGCCATTGTGTAGTTCTGAATATGTCAGTAGATTTTGCCTGGTTTGAAGCTAAATATATTTTACATTGATAGCTTGTTTGGTATATACTGGCAATATGATAGCTTGTTGGGTATATACTGGCAATATGATAGATTGTTTTGTATATACTGGCAATATGATAGCTTGTTCGGTATATACTGGCAATATGATAGCTTGTTTGGTATACTGGCAATATGATAGCTTGTTTTGTATATACTGGCAATATGATAGCTTGTTGGGTATATACTGGCAATATGATAGCTTGTTTTGTATATACTGGCAATATGATAGCTTGTTGGGTATATACTGGCAATATGATAGCTTGTTTTGTATATACTGGCAATATGATAGCTTGTTGGGTATATACTGGAAATATGATAGCTTGTTTGGTATACTGGCAATATGATAGCTTGTTAGGTATATACTGGCAATATGATAGCTTGTTGGGTATATACTGGCAATATGATAGCTTGTTGGGTATATACTGGCAATATGATAGCTTGTTTGGTATATACTGGCAATATGATAGCTTGTTTTGTATTTACTGGCAATATGATAGCTTGTTTGGTATATACTGGCAATATGATAGCTTGTTTTGTATTTACTGGCAATATGATAGTTTGTTTGGTGTATACTGGCAATGAGACTCAGGCACCTCATACAGTGATTTACAGCTCCAGGAAAATACATGTCCAGGAAGTTCCATATGCAGATATTATTTCCTGACATTGGTGACATTTATAGCATTACCTGTGCTTACTTTTCAGAGTTTATTCCTGGCCTTGGGGATTATCTGCACAGCAAGTATGATAATCTTGGATAATCCTTTTGGATTTATAACCTTGTAAATTTAGAGCGCTGATATAAAATGCAATCGCTGATTAGGAGCATATTGTTTTGAGATATCAACTTTCTTCATAGAACTTTAAAAGATAAGGGTCCAAAGATCCTCCGAGCATCATGCAAGCAAATCCATTCAACTGTAGAGTAGATCCCGGAGTAGATCCCGGAGTAGATCGCCTAGCAGATCCCGGAGTAGATCTCAGAGTAGATGTTGTTGTAATTTTCTTCTGATTTAAAATTTTCAAAACTCTTTCTCCTGAGTAAACTGCTGAAACACTAATAGAGTCGCTATAACAATGAAGTGCCTTTGAGACTTCACAATTACCAAAATAAAAGCAGAGATTTACCAATTAATTCAGTAGAGTAGTAATAAAGTAGAGCAGATATATTTTCATAGCATATTGATTATTTAATGTCGATTTTGAGAAAGATGTTTGGTACCTTCTTTAACAACAGATTTAAGTAAAAATGAAATTAGTGCAAAATATTTCTTTCCTACGCTTTAAATTGAAGGTCATGTTTGTTAACCCTAACCCAGTAAGAGATAAGAGGGGCTTACCACCCAAAATAATTTGAGACGGCAGAAGGAGGTGTAGAGACATCTGGCCTGGGTGGTTAGAGAAAAACGTATACAAGTTCCTCATTGTGTAGGTAAGCAAACTTTTGTTTGTTTGCGGGTGGTTGTCTTTCGACTGGCATCATCTCAAAGACTGACACACTTTTTCCGTCCGTATTTAAGATCCACAGGAAACTGGCTTGTTGTCTTTGCCTAAAATACAACATGTTTCATAGGATTTCTTGTAAGATTTTAGGGTGCTAGTTATCAATGTTGCTTTTCATGGGGGAAAATACAGTAATTGTCTGACATAATTGTTCTTGAAATAAATCTAAACTTTCTAATAAATCATATTTCTAAACTTCCATGTTGATTTTTACAGCTGATCTAACCTGGAGGGCCCTGGCTCAGGCTGATCTAACCTGGAGGGCCCTGGCTCAGGCTGATCTAACCTGGAGGGCCCTGGCTCAGGCTGATCTAACCTGGAGGGCCCTGGCTCAGGCTGATCTAACCTGGAGGGCCTTGGCTCAGGCTGATCTAACCTGGAGGGCCCTGGCTCAGGGTGATCTAACCTGGAGGGCTCTGGCTCAGGCTGATCTAACCTGGAGGGCCCTGGCTCAGGCTGTTCTAACCTGGAGGGGCCTGGCTGAAGCTGATCTAACCTGGATGGCCCTGGTTCAGGCTGATCTAACCTGGAGGGCCCTGGCTCAGGCTGATCTAACCTGGAGGGCCCTGGCTCAGGCTATTCTAACCTGGAGGGGCCTGGCTGAAGCTGATCTAACCTGGATGGCCCTGGTTCAGGCTGATTTTCTGTTGATTCAGGAATTTTAGCAGAGCTGACTGTAGAAAGCACTGGTACTGGCTCTCCTTTTTGCCTCCTTCCATTTCTTTCTTTTTGCCTCCTTTCATTTACATTAATTTATTTCTCATCTCTTTCTGACGTTCATTAACACTCTTTTTATTTATTCCATTTGTTCCGCTCTTCCTCAGGGTACTTCTTCTGTCCTGGTCAGCATCACAACGATGTCCACCCTGACGTGTATCATGTCCACCCTGACATGTAAGACTTGGTGACAAGGTGGACGATGACAGGGTGGCATTTTGACATGCTTGACTACATCAAACTACAAAGACATGATGATGAAAATCTGGAAATATCCGACGGGTTCTGGGGTAAGAAGGCCTCTAGGTAATTTTATGTTTCCCTAGTGGGCAAATCAGGTAATGACAGCAGACACTGACAGCAGATATTTAGCATGATTCATGATGACTCAGTGATTCTGATGAGAACCTAAAAGTGAATTTCTAGTTATTTTGACTAAAATGAAACAGGATTGTTTCCTGCTATATATTTGCATACCACGCATTTAGAGGATCCCCAGCATGTTATACAGTACAGTGAAAGAGTCTTAAATGTCCGACTAGTTAGTGCCTAAATATATAACATTCAGATAAACAGAAATGAACAGTAATATGAACTTAACCGTGTATACTTGTGCATTGTGTATTTCACACGCCAACTAAAAGTTTGTGTACATTGTAAGAGGCGTTTGAACAGATAAATATACTTGTAATGAGTTGTGAGAGGATGCAACTCAACCCTGACAGGTCAACCAAGTAAGAGGAAGTCCCGTGTTGTCAGATGTCGAAGGGTTTACAACAGACAAGGGTTCAACACAAGATCACACAGCACTGTATTGATGGTGTAAACTGAGGCGTTTTTTCATTCTCCCTGTAATTATTAACCAGACAACCTGACAAATTTGAGGAAATGTATATGGAATTTATTCTTCTTTCAACACAATCTCACTCCCAAGATATGAGATGAGTTTAATGAGCTGGGAAAGAGTTAACTGGGTCCAGCTGATACAGGTGTGGCGACTTGTGGTATCTGAGATGGGAAAGCATCCATATATATTTCCAGACTATATGTGTACAAAAGGATCATGGGATTGAGGAAGTTGTTTATGGACTGTTCGGAGCGCAATGCGTTATGGACCCTTTTTTCCGTGTTTAGAGAATAGGATATGAAGGGAGGCAGGTGATTTATGTGCAGCCTTTTAAGAGTTGGAGTTTTTGCATTCGGTTTAAGTTGGTGTGCGTCCGTATGTGAATGTGAGTACATATTATTTACCTCTCTGTAATTACGTTGACTAATACAATGGTGAATGTTTTTTATTCCATTTATGCGCAAGATAGTAGCGCGTCACGGGTGCCTATGTTAGTCTTCGTATATATGATGGGCATGTATTTTCGTAATGTTTCATTTACACTACTCGCATTTCTACGGATGTAATTAATGATCCGGTTGGACGTTGAACATATTGCAATTGATAAGGTGTATTTGGGCAACTTGTTATTTAGTAATATACATGTTCATGTTGTGATGCCAGTAACATGGTATATGTTTATCAGTGATGTTACCATTAAGATTAGTCTCTATTTAGATTTTCTACATGCTAGGTTATTAATGTATTTGATTTACTGTTTCAGACCACATCTACTTATGCATTACATAGACCAACCCATGTGAATTTGTATTTCTACAAGCAAGTTATAACTACAAATTAAAGAAGTCAACTGGCACACCTTGGTTTGTTTCTGTGCTCTTACCGGCACACGGGAGAGAACACCTTGAGACCCTATAAGTGAATACAGTCCACGAAAGCTATCTAACAATATGTGAGCAATGCTCAACTGTTATTCAGTGTCCTTATCTAGGAGGTGGGGGACCTGGTAGGGGTTAGAGAAGAGGTGGGGGACCTGGTAGGGGTTAGAGAAGAGGTGGGGGACCTGGTAGGGGTGAGAGAAGAGGTGGGGGACCTGGTAGGGGTTAGAGGAGATGTGGGGGACCTGGTAGGGGTGAGAGAAGAGGTGGGGGACCTGGTAGGGGTTAGAGGAGAGGTAGGGGACCAGGTAGGGGTTAGAGGAGATGTAGGGGACCAGGTAGGGGTTAGAGGAGAGGTAGGGGACCAGGTAGGGTTTAGAGGAGAGGTAGGGGACCTAGTAGGGTTTAGAGAAGATGTAGGGGACCAGGAGAGAAGCTGGGGATTGAACCCAGGACATCATACATACAACATACATGCACTCTACCACTGAGCTACATCAATTGTTATGTCACCCAGGTCATATGGTGGGATCAGACAATAACGTCTCGCCCTGTTAACTACTTTAAAAATGGTGACGGGCCACATAGTTAAACATATTTGCCAGGCATGTCACAGTTCCTTGTTCTTTTTCGATTCAGATGTTGGGTTAAATCTTGGTAATTGACCTAGATGGTTCTTCGGTTGGACTTTTCCAGAGCTATTTCAAGGCAATGGCAACAATCACACAGTTTGACCAAAACAAAGACACGTCCAGAAAGCAATGCAGAAATAAATAAATGAAGCTGAAGTTACAAATGAACGCAGACATTGCAGGTATCACCGAAATAAGGATTGGTCATTGGGGCAAGGTTATAGAGGAAAAATCTGGAGCTGCTTTTTCCATTTGCCAAACACTAACTCTGATATCATCATAGCCCCATATACGGGTTACCTGAGCAGTATATTATGAGTTAGGACATTCTGTTTTCAGTAATAAAATGCATTTACATTTACGGCACATCACACTACATTAAATGGCTGCCGACTCCCAATGGGGGAGACTGACAAATAAGGGTTCTCTACACCTGTATTGACAGTGTAAACGGAGGGGGTTCACATAAACTGGGTAAATATTAACGTGACCGGTCGATCACATGTAGCTAAGACACTGACAGACCAATTAGATTGACTCTTACTCTAACCTCTCTGAAGACTGGAACGGGGTTCAGAGGTACATCGAGAAGGCAGAACTGTGATTGTTTGTCTTGAACACAACGAGGTGAATGTATCACAGTTTGTGGTGATAGACTTAATTTACAATTGATTATATTACTTTTTTGAGATTCTCTGGTCTGACGAGAATATCTTGTCAAGCCACACCTGGAGAAATGAAGGTACAGTTTATTGCCTGGCAGATTTTATGAAAGCGACATAATGTAGAATAGATTCATCATTGTCAATATCTGGTCACATATCTTTGCATGCAATGGCAGCCTGAAGTCTACGATGCATCAACTTTACCAGGCCTGGGTTTGTTCCCTGGGGATGCATTTATGGGTTGTTGTTGGGGTGGGACAACATGAAGAAGACAGCAGCGTAATTACCAAAACATCGAAGGTTGTGTACAACGATGTGTGCAGCGCAAACAGGCACTAACCAGAACAGAGTTGGAGAACCTGGTGCAGAACCGAGCATCTGGGATATGCTAAACACTACTGGAACTTTGACTGGAGGCGAGTGCTATGGTCAGATAAAACAAAAAATGGTCCTTTGCAACAGACAGTAGGCGGCTTTGGCGCTAAGCGAAGGATGGCTATTCCGAAAAGAACCTGATCTCCATGGTTAAATATAGTGGAGGTTCTTTGATGTTGTGCAGTTATTTCCTCTCCCAAGGCCATCTTCCAGCAGGACAATGACCCTAAAGATCCAAATCAACACAAAAATGGTTCACTGAACACAAAATCTAGCTTCTGCCACAGCCATTCCAGTCCCCTGGCCTGAACTCTGTTGAAAACCTGTAGGTTGAGCTGATGAGATGAGTGCATGAAAGAGAACCAAGGACCAATGATTTGGAGAAATTCTGGGAAGAGGGGGGGATTCCTGGCTCTGTATTCTCCAACCTTGCGAGATGTAATAGGGGAAGTTCTGTTTTATTGGCAAAGTGAGGTTGAGGTACATATTTAATGCCAGGGTGCCAATAATTGTTGCACACATGGTTTCATTTCAAATAATTTATTGATGACAAATTAGTTTTTCTCAGAATAAATGTACTTCAATTAAAGGTGGGATGTTCAACATTTTCTTCAGTCTGACATTTGGCAAAATCACCAGACGGTAAACTTTTAGGACACTTTTTATTCATCTTTACTAGGGGTGCCAATAATTGTAGAGGTCGCTGTACTTTGAGAAACAAGTTGCCTCACTGGTCCTCAACTGGCAGCTTCATTAAATAGTCCCCGCAAAACACCAGTTACATCGTCAACAGGTGTTTGGATCACAAAAAACAACATTTGTGAGATGCAGACCAAATGAAATTATGCTGAATGAGTGCTTTTTTGTCTAATGAAAAAGAAATCACAGACTTAGTGTAATCAAGCTAGGGGGAAACATTTGACCTGTCACCCAAACCCTCCTAATTCCAAAGAGAACACATCTCTGAACCATGAACATGCATATAAATACACAAACATGCCCAGTTTCTTTCTCGTACACACACACACACACACACACACACAGGACCAATGACTTGTGTGTGTTGAATGGCGATCTCCTTTTTCAATCTCCTCGGTTTTTCACTGTACCCATGTCAGGCAACAGTCCAAAGTTTTTCAGGACATTTTTGGTGACTTGGATAATGATTTGAGTTATCTGGCCTCGGTCCTCTTTCGACAGATAACTTTTCCAAACAAATCAGGACCCAAACATTGCTTGCAATTCTTAACCAATGTTTGCATGCTGAACTTGTGGTTTTGGTCAACGCTGTGGATGCTATGGATTCCGGCGGAGTTGGTCAACAGATTTAGAAAATAAAAACTGTGATGGTGCAATTGAGATCCCATATGCCAAAAGGGGTTGTCATCGAAACCAGATCCGATTCACTGTTGCCAAGGGACATGTTTTGGAGGCTAATGTTTCCCTGGGATTGTTACACCGGTAAAGTTGTGCCAAAAAAACAGAGACTAGCGTGCCAGTGGAAGCCATCACAGGAAAGTCAGAGACCCACACTGATGATGAACAGACACTATAAATGTAAAAGTTAAGTCAGATTTGATAACATACCTGCAACACAGGTGCACGCACCTCCCCATGTTCACACACACACAGAGACTCACACACACACACTGGTGATGAATTGTCACTATAGTCTGTCAGCACATTAATTATTGAAAATGTTCTCAAGTAATGAAGTGAACTGTTCAAATCAGCGTGCAATGGCTATTATCGGATTGGACGTTTATTAGATCTAATGCACGTTGGGAGGGGCCATTGCTGTTTGTTTCCTGTTGAGTAGGATGATAGATATCCCATTGGAGAAAGAATGCGATCACATTGAAAATAGAAGTCATTGTGTGCGTGTCCACTTGAGACGCCAATAGACGCTCCTCAAAATGCAGCAGCATCTGATACAATGCATTTTTCTTGCATCTTGTTTGAAACTCTGCACCGGATCAGGTAAGCCGATTTAACTGTTTTTTATGGTACAAATAAATAACTAGGTCGATAATAGTCGTATGCGTTCTGATATTCAAACAAGAAATGCCTAATTGATCAAGTGTCCGTCAACAGACAGACGCACTAATTTCTGACCATTCAAAGCCTTATGAGTTGAGACATAGAACTTGTCAGGCATATTACAGATAATATCAGCTTATATGGTATCACTCATCCTGTGATCCTCTTGAGCCGATAAGTGGCCTCTATAAATGATTCACCTGATGTGGTGCCATAGGTGTCGCCTATAGAACCAGCCGGCTCTCACACTCTAAATGGGCTCGTTTAATATCCTTGAGATTGAATAAAGTGCATTTAAGGAATTAGTCGCGAAATATTAGTATTCTACACAATAATATAATAGCACTGTTAAGAGCCTAAGTTTTATTATTGCATTTTAGGAATATTGCCCGAAACCCGAGCTCATATAACCCTCATATGTAACAGACGCGCATATGAGCTAAATATCTTATTGAGACTTCAATACAAATCCCATTTAACAGTAAGAGGGCATAGACTAATTACATTATTTGAAAATGCACATTCCTGAAACGGATCGTGATCTAATAGTTGCAGGGTATATTAATATACAGATGCACTATGGACGCAAAAAAGAAATGATGTTTTAAATACGCAATGTTTACATTTCTATTATATATTATATGCACGGGCTAACATGCACGGACAAATATCCCAAATAAAATACAATCGGTTCGGGTCGGAAATAACTTACATTGAGGAAATGTTGACGCAATTAAAAAGTGCAAAATTGTTTTTTTTAAGTATAGGCTAGCCTACATCAAAATCAAAGGTATTTTATGAAGTCCCTTTTTACATCAGTTGTCACACCTGCTTTTACAAAGTCACACAGCAGAAACCTGAAATACAGACTCGATGTTGAAACTATGTAAGTAATGACAAAGTATTTTATTAGTCATCGACACATGCATTTTGCATTTTATTTGCTTGCATAATTACATACATTAATTACATACATTCATTACAAACATTGGATACATTTATTATACACATTAGCCTGCGTCCAATTGATATAACAAATGAAAAGCACCTGCAGTTGAAAGCAGTATTAAATTGCATTCAACCGCAGGTGCTTTTCATTTGTATATGTAGCCTATATATATAGGCTACTATGACATTTAAAGAATATATGAATGTAAAAACATTTCGTTTGTCTTAATTTGCTATAAACGCGCGTATTCACTTAATAAACAAGCGACTACAATAAACTTTAAATATTATTGATCCTGTCCCGCGCACCGCACTGTAATGACCGCAGATATATCCCAACCTCCCAGAGCAGATATATCCCATCCTCCCAGAGCAGATATATCCCATCCTCCCAGAGCAGATATATCCCAACCTCCCAGAGCAGATATATCCCATCCTCCCAGAGCAGATATATCCCATCCTCCCAGCAGATATATCCCATCCTCCTCAGCAGATATATCCCATCCTCCCAGAGCAGATATATCCCATCCTCCCAGAGCAGATATATCCCATCCTCCCAGAGCAGATATATCCCAACCTCCCAGAGCAGATATATCCCATCCTCCCAGAGCAGATATATCCCATCCTCCCAGAGCAGATGTATCCCATCCCAGAGCAGATCCCAGAGCAGATATATCCCATCCTCCCAGAGCAGATATATCCCATCCTCCCAGAGCAGATATATCCCAACCTCCCAGAGCAGATATATCCCATCCTCCTCAGATCCAGGAGCAGATATATCCCATCCTCCCAGAGCAGATATATCCCATCCTCCCAGAGCAGATATATCCCATCCTCCCAGA